TGCAATACTCATTCAAAAGTTTTAATTGTTAAGAGTCCCACATTGAAAATATATTGGTTTTTAAGACCATGGGTTAGGCTAGCTAATTGATTGGATTTAATTTTAGTGTGGTTTGGCCCATGTGCATTATAGTCCAATTGAGTGACATTGACCCAATCTTAGATTATAACACTAATTAACAAACATCTATATATATATATATATATATATATATATATATATATATATATATATATATATATATATATATATATATATATATATATATATATATATATATTTTAAACACAATACTGATAGTTGTTGTAACTCATAATAATCCCACATGTGTCAAGGAATTGAAGGTCATGAACTTATTTTGATGTTATTTTTGTTGCTTCTATGGATAAGTTTCCTCCTGGTTTATTTGAAAGAAAGTTGTGGTAAGGGCCTTGTTAGATTAAGAATTGCTTGCCAATATTAATTATATCCTATTTTATTTTTATTATGCTTTTCTGAAATTTCTTGTCAGTGTGGTCATTATTGCTTGAGCAAAAGGTCATATTATTTTTAAAATCAATTTTCATATGTTGGCTTAAAATTCTTTGTTTTTTACATTTCTTTCCAGTGTGTAACAGTTGTTACTCTGCAATTGTGGGCTCCCTAATTTTGGCTTGCTTCTGATTATGAATGAACTTAGACAAGATATTTTTCTGTTTGTTCACTATAATTGCTAACAGAGATAAAGATGTCAACTGCAATACAGCCCACTCCAAAACCAACAAAAAATAATAATAATAATAATAATAATAATAATAAAGAGGTACAAGGAATATATAGGAATATCTTCTCCCTCAGCAGAAACTGTTGAATGGTTCCTGTTTTTACAGCACAGGTTGTCATGGGTCCTAGATGTGATACCATATGTTGGAATGTTGGATACATCCTTGAATATTTTCATATTCATCCATTTGAACAGGTCTTTGATAAAGATAATGTTGGGAAAGATGAACGTTTGGGCATTGCTAAGTTACCTCTGATTGAGCTGGAAGCAGAGACAGAAAAAGAAATTGAATTGAGATTGCTGCCAAAACTGGATATGCTTAGGGTGATAGACAAGAAGGATAGAGGAACTGTTACAATTAAGGTAAAAAAATTGTGGGCCTCTCTGGCTTTTAACTGTCAATGTTCATGGTTTCCTTTGCGCCACCTTTTCATTTGGTTCTCCAATAATACGTGCATGTGCCAGTAGGTTCCAATACGCTGATCATGCATTCTCAATTGTTAGGTGTTGTACCATGAATTTAACAAGGAAGAGCAGCAAGCTGCTCTGGAGGAAGAGAAGAGGATCCTAGAAGAAAGAAAGAAGCTGAAGGAGGCTGGTATCATCGGGAGCACGATGGATGCTCTCGATGGGGCAGCATCTCTTGTCGGTTCCGGTGTTGGTATGGTGGGAACTGGCATTGGTGCAGGAGTGGGGCTCGTGGGAACCGGTGTTGGTGCAGGAGTGGGGCTCGTGGGAACCGGTGTTGGTGCAGGGGTGGGACTCGTGGGAAGTGGCATAGGTGCAGTTGGAAGCGGGCTAAGCAAAGCTGGAAAGTTTGTTGGTAGGACCTTTACTAGTTCTAGCAACCCCAAGAGCCAACAGGGTGACTCCTCCGCCCCTGCTCCGGCCCCGGCCCCCGCCCCCGCCCCAAGCCCTGAAGAAGACAGTGGTGCTAAGCCACTCTAGGTTTGCGCATAAACTCACTCACTCTTATCTGTATCCCGCCATTAATTGCCTGTGTATTTAGAGTTTGTTGATTATAGCCTACTTTTAGATTGGATTTCGTTTAAAGTTTTACTGTGTACTGGTTTGTGAGTTGAAACATTCACTGTTCATATTTAGTAAAATGCCCTACTGCAGTAAAATTTAGTCACCCTAAGATGGCACAGATTTGTTTTCTGAACTCCTTGTAAAAATTCACCTAAGATAAAAAGTCAACTTTGTTGTTTTACTGTTTGGTGACATTCTTGACTAGTTTAAATTTGTCATATATTGTAGTGCTGTGTACTACTGTACTAGTTATCTTTTCTCTATGACATCAAATCTTAGAGAATCTCTTTTATCATATGTTTGATATAATTGTACAATTATTTTTTCCGTACCGGGTATTCCCATCCAAATGTAATTAATCTCGATTCAGTTTGAATTACATCTATAAAATTTGATACGTCTAATGTTATTTGTGAAATTATAAAATTTGCTTTAAATATCTTACACCTCTTACGATTGAGATAACTTGACATGATTATTAATTTTGTGAGTTGAGATATGCATGACATTCTGTACTCTTACTATTATAAGATTGATTTATATTTGGTCCTATTTACACCCGCTTAGTTTGATATATTTGATGTGTTATTTATAAAATTATAGAACTTTCTTTAATTACTAGATATGGGTATTCAATTTTGTGACTCGAGAATTACATATGACATTCTATATTCTCTGATTAGTATAAAATTAATTTATATTTGAGTCGGTTTCGCGTTTAAAATGTTTGATGTTATCTGTGAGCTAGTATAATTTGCTTGAACTACTTAGACATGATTTGACATGTTAATTGGATTTTGTGAGTGGAAAATGTGTCCATTTGTAGGATCACGGATGGTCATAAAGTATAGGAATATGGAAAAAAATCCGTCCAGCTTTCTCGTGACCTGGTAAGTAAGTGAAGATGCGATCATCGCTCATGGAGATCCGATCCCAAATCTGAAAGCTGATATCTGAGCTCACAGTTGAGCTAAAAAAAGTCTTCACTTTCAGTAGTCCTGGAATTGCCAAGTCATGAGACGTTGCACTTCTGTTACACGACAACCATGAGTTGAATTTTGCATACAAACAAACACATATGGTTAAACAGTCCCAGCCATTGGATTATGTTTTTATTTTGTGTGTGTGTGTGTGTTTTTTTTTTTTAATTTTTTTTATAGTGTTATAATTTTCAAATTAGTCAACTTTATATGTTAGATGGTTATTTGAGTACATGGCTAGAGAAATATATATAAGAAAAGTAGCTGAGAGGCAAAAAAACACTCGATCGAGTTGAGCGCCAACTCGGTCGAGTTAGGCACTGACTGGGTCGAGTTAGGAGCTCAATTTAGTCGAATCGGTGCCTAAGGTGCCTAGACGACTGATTAGTCAGTCAACCAACTAAAAGCCACATAGGGCTGAAATCACCTGGGCTTAGGAGCGCTTAGTGCCTAGGCGGCCGCCTAGGGCTGATTTTTATAACACTGTCTAGGAGTATTAAATTGGTATTTGTATCATCCTAATCCAGTTTAGTTTTGATCATATTAAGTTTTTACTATATTAATTTAACATAGTTTTGATTAGTTCCTATTTCATTCAAAAGCGTTGATATTATGATTATATGATAACGCGTATTATTTTTAAAAATGCTTTAGTTTTTTTTTTTTTTTCTTTTTTGAAAATAGAAACATATCTTCTTCAAAGTTTTTCAAAAAAAAAAAAACAAGACATTAGCAAATGGCCCCTACATGTGTTTTGTTCTTTGCTTTTATTTGTTTGTGCTATAAATAAAAGAGTGTACCTTTGATGAGTGCAGGTATGAACGAGGTTCATTTCATGAGGAGAATAGGAACACAACATGGGGCTCACATGATCTCAATTTAAGGTGATAATTCTTATCCCCTTTCTATAGTAGCACATCCATGTCCTTCACCTTCAACTTGAACTTTTATTGTGATATAACACGCATTTCAATTTAATATCAACTAACAAATATTTTTGCATATACACATGTAAAGACATATTGACAATAAAATATTAAATTAGTATTCTCAGTTCTCACTATCAACTTAAAATTTTAATTAGACAGAATATGTACTTCAATTGAATATCAACAAAAAGAAAAAATATTTTTTTTCATTATGAAAAAATCCATAAACATTTAGGTACGAGTATCATGCTTTATTCACTTAGTCACTTATTTTTAAAAATATTAAGAATAAAATATTTTAATAGGTACACATAAAGTTATGTATTGAAAATAAAATATACTCCGTATAAATTATTAAACACATACTTTAATTAATTTAAAATTTTATTTGATATATCCTTTAATTTTCATACCATAAAATCATCCGGAAATAATATTAGTTTTGGTCAATCTCGGGAAGGGATTAACCATAAGGAAAGACATACTCTAATAAATAAATATAAAAAAATAAAATGTAAGAGAAGAGAGTGTGACAAGTTAATTATAGTAGTTGGCTAAATTATTAGAGATTAAACCATAACAGCTTGATGTTACACTTCCTTTTTACTTGACTTGCTTTCAGTGTTAACAGCTTACACTCACAGTCAACATAACAAGACTATAGAGTCCAGTAAGTCGACAAAAAAAAATTATATATTATAATTTGAGTGTATAAAATTCTTCAAAGACCTCTTCAAACCCTTTACCGATTGAGACTGCACTTATCTTCATGGGACCATCACTGATTGTACATTTGGACACTGTACATAGTACATACCTTGCTAAACAAAATTCTTTATATTTATACCGTGTATGCTAGCCAACATCTTCTTAAGTCAAATTTGTTGTACAAAGTTTTTCTACTACAATTTAATTTTTATGTGTGATTTGTGAGATATAACACGAGAATAAAATATACATAATACACACCATTAGCCCCAATAGATAAAGTATTATTCTCGTACATTTCTCTGAAAAAATAGTTCAAATAGGTGAAACATTATTTTTATACCTAAAGTCATCTCGATCAAGTCCATGGCACATAATTTTTATAATGTGTCTGTCATAATAAATAAATAAAAAATTACAATAATGCACCCAACTGGATACTATGTTGCGCCTCACACCAGGATAGAACGACTATTTTTCAATTTTGGTGGGGTATAAAAGATCACTTTAGCTAATTTTATCTCAAAAAGTGAGTAAAAATTACTATTGTGGTTGTTATTACATTCTGGGTAATATTTGTGTGTCTCCCTCGTAAAAAGAAAAAAAATGTGTGTATTTGTATAATACCCATTTTTTTCTGTAGATTTGTTATCAGTCTCCGGTAAGCTCCAAACACACTGGTTCACTTGTTCCTCCTTTGCTTATTAGTCCCTTTCTTCTCTTCCATCCAAACAAATCTCTCTGCAAAAATGCTCAATCTTTAACTCTTTCTTCTTCTTCATTCTACTCTTCCTTACAACGCCACAATGCCACCGGATTTCCCATATCCGCCTCCTGTTCCCTTCTTCCCCGCCGCCACTCCGCCGCCTTCCACTACCCACCGTTCTCACTCCCCCTTCCTACCCTCCATCGTCGCCGCAGCTTTAGCCTTGGCGTTGTTCTTGCTCTTCGCGTTCGTTTACCGCAAAATATCGCGGAAGAGAACGGTGCCTGCAGATCTGAAGTCTCCCCTGCCTCCGCATCAGTTCTCCTATTCCGCCCTCCGCCGCGCCACTAATGCGTTTTCCGCTTCCAAGCGTCTGGGTCAGGGAGGGTTCGGGTCTGTCTACAAAGGGGTGCTCCCCTCCGGCCAGGAAATCGCCGTGAAGCTCATGGAAGCTTCTGGGTCTCTCCAGGGCGAGAGGGAGTTCCAGAACGAGCTCACTCTTGGTTCCAGGATAGATGCGACGTGCTGCCCTCACGTAGTGCCTATACTAGGTTTCTCCTCCGACGAGCAGGGCTGTAAGAACCCATACTCCAGCCGGAGGAGAAGGTTGATTCTTGTTTATGAGTATATGCATAATGGGAGCTTACAGGACGCTTTGATGGATCGCAAGTGCCCCGAGCTAATGCTATGGGGGAAAAGGTTTTCGATTTTAGTTTCTGTAGCAAAGGGCATCGAGTATCTTCACTACTCGTGCGATCCCCCGATAGTGCACGGGGATATTAAGCCCTCAAATGTATTGTTGGATTGCAACTTTGATGCTAAAATTGCAGATTTTGGGTTAGCACAAGCCTTGACTAAAGATGATGAAATTGCTGAAGGGGGAGAGAAAAAACAAGGCTTTAGGAATGTGGAGGAAAATGGGTCAATTGTTGAGGGAAATGAGACTGTGATGAGAGAGGAAGTAGTGGTGAATGTGGATCAATCCCCAGAGAGCTGTTGTATCAAGGTTCTTGATGGGGAGGTGGGAGTGGTGTCACCAGAAGTGGCAGTAGGTGAAACTACTACTCCTCCATCTGAGGGGTTTGAAAAGGCTAGCCTTTCAGAAGGGGTTTTCGATGGGGTTAGCATGGATAGCGGGATTTCGAAAGGAATTGAGAGGAGAGCAAGTGAATCAGGAAGGGATTGGTGGTGGAAACAAGAAAACGTGAATGGTGGTTCCGAGTCTGGGAGGATTAAGGACTATGTAATGGAGTGGATTGGTAGTGAAATCAAGAAAGAGAGACCCAAGAAGGATTGGATTGCGAGCACTAGCGCAGTGGAGGATGGTACTAAAGTGGAGCAAAAGAAGCACAAGAAGAAGCTGGAATGGTGGGCATCTCTGGATGAGGAGAAAATTAGGAAGCAAAGAAAGAACCGGAAGCCAAGGGAATGGTGGAAGGAGGAGTTCTGTGAGGAACTAACAAAGAAAAAGAAGAGGGCAGTTAATGGTGATAACGGGGGAGAAATGTGGTGGCAAAGGGATGAGGAGGTGGTGCCTGAGAGGAAGAGGCGGAGGAGCAGGGGAAGTAGGAGCAGCATCGATTGGTGGCTAGATAGTTTTAGTGGAGAGTTCCGAATCGGGCGAAGAAGTAGCCAAGATTTTGCCAGTGGAGATGTCCCGAAGAGTGGCGGTGTGACTAGTACACCAAGTATGAGAGGAACTGTTTGTTACATTGCACCTGAATATGGAGGTGGAGGGCAGCTTTCCCAGAAGTGTGATGTATACAGTTTTGGCGTCCTATTACTAGTTTTAGTTTCAGGGCGAAGGCCACTTCAAGTAACCGCCTCTCCCATGTCAGAATTCGAGAGGGCAAATCTCGTGTCATGGGCTCGCCATCTCGCTCACAGTGGCAAGCTCTTGGATCTCGTCGATCCCAACATACAGTCTTTGGATCAAGAACAGGCATTGCTTTGCATCACGATTGCACTCCTCTGTTTGCAGAGATCCCCCAATAAACGCCCTACCATGAAAGACATAGTAGGGATGCTTTGTGGCAAGTCCGAGCCACCACCCTTGCCATTTGAATTTTCCCCATCACCACCATCAAATTTCCCTTTCAAGTCCCGGAGAAAGCCCCGGTGAGTCCATCACCTTTGCAATGTCAGTATCGATAATTCGATTTCCTTAGCAGTAGAATGTACTGTATCATCTTGTAGAAAACTTAGAAGAAAAGCAAAAAATATATATAAATTGCCTTTTTTATCAGCTTTTTATTGTTCCCATTATGATCATGGTGCATTTTGACCTCCTTATGGAGAGGGATTATGATAGCACTAGGTATCCCTGACTTTAATTTTCCCACAAATACCTACATGTTGGGAATCCCAAGCATAAAGGCAAAGATATTCATAATTTCATAGCCTTTGCTCTCACTTTTTAAAAGGTGAGTTCACCAGAAATCAACAAATTCAGTGCCTTGGATATCAATGACCTTTCCTTTCAAGCTTTTATTGGGCCCTATAAGTTAGGTAGTCTTTGGCTGCTTGCTTTGTATAAAGTTATACAGAGCTTCCTGTAGAATGACCAATTGATCTCTTACCACCACTGGGCCCAATTCTTTTTGGAAAGTGATCACAGATGGCCTTGATGTGTATCACTGCATATATAAATTGTCAGTCATTCATAAATGTCCATAACTCTTAGTGGACTTTTGAGCTTTGAGTGGGTAAACTTTAGCTCTATGCTGTGCTTGATTGCACTCAAAAATTAGGTCGGCCAACCAACGGGATATAAACCTGACAAATATACAATCCCTTAAGTGTAAAACTTTAAGTCATTTATCTCTTGTCACCACAACCACAAGTTGTGCACAAGGAGCCAAAGTGGCAAGTGTATTATGCTCTGGATATGCTATGGTCTTTAATAGTTGGCACTGGTTTTAGGTGAAGTCATATATGTTACAAATTTTGAAACTGTAACTGTGGAGCTCCATATTGTTTGTTGCCTACTAATGTGAACTTGCTGAAAATCCCTTGGAACTGTTCAAGAAATTTTTGAAAGAACAGGAAATTCCACCCTGTATACAGCCTGGTGCATGGCTCCAGAATCTTGATATTTCTTGATTGAAGCAATGAATGTATGTCTCTCACCAAGGTTGTGTGGATTGAGATGACACCACCATCAGCATGTTATATTGAGAGAGGTTGAGAATTTAAAATCCCCCTGTCGTATGAAAAAAGCTAATATGACCAGCACTTTGTTCCTTAATTGGGCCGACTCGGTTTGAATGTGGATTAGTTTGAGTATGGTAAGCTTAAAGGTGCCTCCTATAATTATGGCATATTCAGGACATCTCGCGATCTAATTTTTTTATTAAAAAAAAAAAAAAAAAAAAAAAAACAAAAAAGACTACGGATAGAGAAATCTGATCATCGATTGTTATACCATGAACCAGGTTCATATTGCATTGTGAATCCGAATACAAAAATTTTGTACGAGTGTTACATATACAGAAATTATCAACTGTAGGTACAGAATTTGAAGGTTATTTTTGGACTAAGATCTACAACGCAAGGGTATGAACTATGGTCTACAATGCAAGGTAGACACGGGTATAATTTGCCTCAGACTATCAGCTTGATTTTCTTATCAACCCATTGACATTCTCAGGTTCTTGGGGTTAGCCCATCGATGTTAAACTACATATAACATTCCCAAGTGTCTTTGGACCTTCGGGTCTGACCATCCATACATATAACATGTTGGCATGTTCCAACTACCAGGTTGAATTGTTTGGTGACAAACACCTTCATTGCCATGTTTTCAAAAAAGCTGTTTAATTGCACATTGCCTAGATTTAGTTACTCTTTAGGTGTGATATATGTTAACTTAAGTAGTTAGCTACCCGTAAAATGTTCTAGCTAGCTCCCTTTTCTGGTCATGTTGTTTATCACCATAAAGTAAAATAAAATCTAAGAATTTAAACAAAAAAGAGATAACGACAAAAAATGGCATTATAAACCGTCAAAGTTGTTGCCCAGTAGTTGCTAGTATTCATTCTCATGCTGTCAACCTTCATCATTTATAAATACCAATAAATATTATAACCTACCCCACCAACCGTTTTCATAGCCACAAAAACTCCATATTTCTGCAGCAAAAACCCAACCTTACTTATTTGCTTGTTAGCCATCTCTGATCTCCACAAGCTTTCATCTTTCAAACTCCATGGATAAACAAAAGGAATTAGCAGAAGAAGAAGCTTACAAGTTTCTGAAGATTATTCCTAACCCTGATGGATCACTCACCAGAGAAAACCCTATTCCCACTGTACCTTACACCCCATCATCAGAAGACGATGATCGGGTTGTCCTTTTCAAAGACGTGCCTCTCAACACCTCCGCCGGCACCTTCATCCGCCTCTTCCGCCCGCCGCCGTCGCCGACCACCGCCAAGCTTCCTCTCATCATATACTTTCACGGCGGTGGGTTCATAGTGTTCAGTGTGAGTTCCGTCATTTTTCACGACTCCAGAATCCGCTTGGCGGCTCAGGTCCCCGCCGTCATCGCGTCGGTGGAGTACCGCCTGGCGCCGGAGCACCGCCTCCCCGCCGCCTATGACGACGCCATGGACGCCGTCATGTGGGCCAGGGACCAGGCGAATGGGAACAACTGCGATCCATGGCTGAAGGATCAAGTCGACTTCTCTAGAACATTCCTGATGGGCAGTAGCGCCGGCGGGAACATTGTCTTCCACGCGGCCCTGCGCGCGTCGGACCACGATCTCTCCCCTCTGAAGATCGAAGGGCTGATTCATAATCAGCCCTACTTCGGTGGGGTCCAGCGGACAGAATCTGAGCTACGACTGGTCAACGACAAGGTCGTGCCGTTAAATGCTAATGATCTCATGTGGTCGTTGGCATTGCCTAAGGGTGCCGACCGTGACCACGAGTATTCTAATCCGTTGATCGCCGGGTCCCTGCTGGGCGAGAAGATCGGACGGCTGCCAAGGAGTTTAGTTAGAGGATACGCGGGGGACCCACTGGTCGACAGGCAGAAGGAATTTGCCCGGTGTTTGGAGGAGCATGGTGTTAAGGTGGTGAAGCAATTTCTGGACACGGGGCATCATGCTATCGAGATATTTGATCCTCAGAGTGCTGAAGCTTTGTATGTTGCGGTCAAGAATTTCATTCACTGCTCTGATGAGATTGAAGGCAATGGGGGGACTAAATCAGCAATTTGAATTTGTTTGGAGCAATCAGCAATCTATTGCCTTCACTGAATTACCAATAATTATTGTATCCAATAAATGAATAAATAAATATTAATTTTCAATACTTATACTAAACGTACAACTATAGAAACCTTATTGAATTGGTCGGACTCGAGTTCGGTCCTTTTTTAATCTGCTTGTTGATTTAAGTTCTTAGGTTCGGGTCACGTTACAATGAGCCAGAGGCTCTCGAGCAAAAGGTTAACTTTTATAGGAAGTCAAAAGTTCCCTCATATAGCATTCAATGTTGTATTTATGGTAGGGTTGAAGGGAACACATGACTGCAAGTTCGACATGTAGGGCACGTCTGGACCATACAATGGGGCGGAATGAAAGCCTTGCTAGCTGCTCCCCCACGCGTTTAAAGATTCCTATCACTAGCGTTCAGCCTTCGTTTGACTACCCTATGGAGTTGTCGCTTAACTTCTCACGTACCGGAGATCGATTTTTCAGCTCCCGGCCTAAAAGGATCGAGAGAAAAATCGAGACCCTAGCAACAAGATTACTCTCTAAGCTTCGGTCAGCATTTTGGCGTATGGTCGGGACCCGACCTGGCCCCAACCAGTACACACTATGAGTCGGTCCAAACATATTTCCCATCACTTAATATATGGTCCAAATAGAGATGACAATTGAGATCTACTTGATGAGACAACGATAAAAAATTATTTTAGAAATCATTAGGTGGTCAAGAATTATTGACAACCACTAACTACCAATGCAACTGTCTTGATTGGTGTTTAAATTTTCTGACTGCATGTCTGATATACACAATGATCATATATTGGCAGATTGGCAGTCCATAATTGTAGCCTCGTTTATATTGTGTATATTAATTAAGCATTTTGAGCATGAATCCTAGTATTAAGCATGGCCATTTACTTTCTCCGACATTGCTTAGCCGTACATAAATAAACATCAAAATCTTGATCATTATATAAAGCCAATTGAAAAATACAGTTATTGTAGTTAGAATACAAAAAGAAAAAAAAAATTGTTTATTTTTATAAAACATTTAGCATTAATGCAGGCCTCCTCGTCGAAATTTGATCCCTATGAGCACCTAAAAGTGGTGCTCAACGATGACGGAACCCTAACCCGCCTCGTGGCCCTCCCCACAACTCCGGCGACCGGAGAATCTGCTACCGGCCATGAAGTGCTCAGCAAAGACGTAACCCTAAACGGCCAGAAGAAGACATGGATGAGAATCTACAAGCCGGCTCAGATCGCGGCCAGCGAGAAGCTGCCGATCATAATATACTTTCGGAACGGCAGCTGGATCGGCTTCAACGTGGCGGTTTCCATCCTCCACGAGAATTGCAACAAGCTCGCGGCCCAGGTTCCGGCGATCGTCGTCTCCGTGGACTACCGCAACGCGCCGGAGAATCGCCTGCCGGCGCAGTACGAGGACGCCATGGACGCCGTGAATTGGGTGAAAAATCAAAACCGCGGCGGCGACACGTGGCTCAAAAACCACGGAGATTTCTCCAGGTGTTACCTCTACGGCACCAGCTGCGGCGCCAACATCGCGTACCACGCGGCGCTGCGAGCCCTGGATGAGAATCCGGACGGCATGACGATCGCCGGCGTGATTCTGAACCAACCGTTATTCGGCGGGAAAAAGCGCACCAGATCTGAGCTGAAGATGGCGACGGACCAGTACTTCCCGCTGCCGGTAATCGACGTTCTCTGGGAGTTAGCGCTGCCGCCGGGGGCAGATCGCGACCACCGATACTGTAACCCTATTAAGGATGGAGCGAGCAAGGCGAAACTGGCGAAATTGGGGAAATTTCTGGTGATCGGATTCGGAGGCGACACTCTGATCGATAGACAGCAAGATTTTGTGCAGATGCTGGTAATGAGTGGAGCGAAGGTGGAAGCTCGATTCGACGACGTCGGATTCCATGGCATCGAAATGATCGATCCTCGCAGGTCTGCCGCCATTGTTAGTTTCGTCAAAGATTTCGTTTGATTTTGTTTGTTTAATTTTAATTTGTTTTGTTGTTGTACTACGTGTTGCATGTAGTCCTTTCAATTCCCTCATGCATCATTTCCTTTTCTTTTTTACATAAATTACTCAATAGCAAGCTGTGATTTTTAGAAGGTTATTGTTACATAAAAATTTTATAAACATTATTAGTTTCAATAATTCAAAATAAGCCCTATTACATAGGAGCTAAGTTTACAAAATACATACATGCCTATGAAAGCATAGCTGCAAGTTTTCTTGTTTCTAAATTAAAAATGGAGTTAATACCTCCAACGGTAATTCTTTAAAAAAACCCAAGTTTAAAATTCGAATCATCACAGTTGTAAATCGCTAATACTCGGAAGACCATTAGAGGTATTAACTCTTAAAAATGTTAAATAGTCACCCCATCAATCCTGGGATGACTCATCCCTTTAAGTTCCCACACTGTCCTTGGAGATTGGATGCAAATTGTCTATATAGAAATTTTTTATTTTTTTTTATAAAAATGACAATCTACATTTGCGGTATCTGCATCTGTTGTATGTACTACAGATGCAAATTTTCCTTTATAACAAATGCAGCTGGCATATTCTGTACTAGCTAGTGAAAATTTTAGGATTTAGGAGGATCTGAACCAATTGAATTAGCTCTATGAAGCTAAGCAATAGTCAAAGTATTTTTTTTTATTGATAAAAAGCATTCCCAAGTCAGACAAAAATACAATGAAAAATGGAGTGGAGTCTAGCAGGATTCTTTTTTGTTTTTATGCCTACTTCAGTCAAAACCCCAAAACAGACAGATGAATTGCAGGACCAGTTGCATATATATATATATGCATGTTCATGCATCCAAATCAACAGGAGAAACCAAAGGTTTATCGGAGAAGAAAGCTTCTAAATTACCCAATACGAGCTCAAAAGCTTCACGAAACGCTTCACCAGTAAAAGCGCCTCTATGAGGATTGAGAACAACGTTGTCTAACTCGAACAACTCCGGCGGAACCTGAGGCTCATTCTCAAACACATCCAAACCGGCACCGCCTATTTCCCCGCGCACCAGACGCCTCACCAGCTCCTCCTCCTCCACGACAGCGCCCCGGGCAACGTTGATGAGAATCCCGTCCTTTCCCAGGGCTTCCAAGACATGTTTGTTAACCATGTGTCGTGTTTTAGGTGTTAAGGAACAGCAGAGGACGAGGATGTTGCAGTTGGCCGCAAGGTCACAGACATCAGGGAAGAAGGTGTAGGGCACTGGCTTTTTCTGCCTTGAATTGTAGGATATAATGCACCCAAAGGCCTCGAGCCTTTTCGCAACTTTGGAGCCTATGTTGCCAAGCCCTACAATCCCCACATGCTTTCCTCCCAACTACATTGTACAAACAAAACCAACACTATATTATGCATGGTACGTGTATATATATACTTGTGTTCAATGTTTATATCTTAAATTAAAGTGAAAATTTTGTTACCACAGAGTGCAACTTGTTATTGCATAATATATGCTTTATACATAATCCAATCTACCACGTCAATCGGCATTAGTGTCTTTTGGACAGTATACAACTATACATGGTTGTAAAGTTGTATCGGGTATATCAATTATTAATGTACTATCTCAAGTCTTCTTGCAACTTTTGAGCCAATGTGGTTTGGCGTGGAATGCTCTAGTATGTGATTTTAGTATGTGCTTACTGAGGTCTATGATGATTTCGGGATGTGCTTATCTATGTTTGAAAGGTAGGTGATTTTTTTTTTTTTTTTTTTTGAGCTTATCTTTTTACTATACACATATAACACATACCTAACAAATTAAGTTCTGCTTTTACAATAGGCAAAAACAAGTGGTTTGAAATGTAATAGCAAGAAATATGTGTTTTAATTAGATATGCTTTATGATTTCGGGATGTGGTTACCTATATTTGAAAGGTGGACAGTTTTTTTTTTTTTTTTTTTTTGAGCTTATCCTTACTCAAAGCAATAACACATTCTCGTGATTTCTTAAATTCTTCTGATCTTAAGCACGGATTAATTGTGTTAGCCTATCATAGACTAGACAAGCGGTAAATTTAACACATATATATTAGATAACACATGTTTTCAAATTAAGTTCTACTTTTATGATCAACAAAAACGAGTAGTTTAGCATGTAACAGCAAGAAATATGCATGTGATGAGAGAGATAATTTTAAAATACATAGCTATATACTGTATGTTTGAAAGGTGGATGCTTTTTATTTATTTATTTTATTTTTTTGAGCTTATCTTTACTCAAAGTAATAACATATTCTTGTGATTCATTAAATTCTTTTAAGCACATATTAATTGCATGTGTTGTGTTAGCTTATCATCAATTAGGAAAACGGTAAAACTAACACGTATATACTAGACAACACATATGTAGCAAAGTAAGTTCTACTTTAGCGATAGGTAGAAAAGAGTGGTTTGGAACGTAACAGCAAGAAATATGGGATGAGAAAGAATGTATGGTGCCGGGATAAACCTGAAAACCTGGTGGGAAGTTATCGACGGTGGGCCAGACACCGCGACGAACAAATCGATCGCCGTAGCTTACTTTCCGGAGGACGTCGATGAGGAGGCCGACGGCGTAGTCAGCTGTGTCTTCCGAGAACACATCAGAAGTGTTGCAGACGGCGATTCCGCGGCGGCGGCACTCGGGGAGATCGATGTGGTTGACGCCGGTGCCGCTGGTGACGACGAGGCGCAGGGAGGGGAGGAGACGGAGCACAGCCTCCGTGATAGGGCTCTTTCCAAAGCAGATAACGGCCTGAGCGGATTGAGCTTTCGTCTCCAGAAACTCGTCGGTCGGCAGAGGTGATTCGTAAGCTTTGAGGACGTTAAACCTTTCGCAGAATTGTTGTTCGTGGACAATGAAAACAGATGATGGAACTATAACCAGCAGCTGTGGACGTTCTTCTTTTCCTTGATCGGATCGCCGGAGATCCATCGTCGGCGACTGGATGCGAGGTAAATATGTTTCTTAGGGTTGAAATTGACGTCTACCATTCGGAATAAGGTCACATGAGAGAACGAATTAGGATATCTTGTCTTATTCATAGAATAGTTAAGAGGATAAGAAATGGGAAAGGATAGATTGATACTGACCAGGAATCATAAAAAATATCAAGTTTCTATTACAAATAGTGGAAATGAAATGCCCACGGAGATACAGGTTAAGCTATATATATTGTTCAAAGAATACATCAACTGACGTCTAGACATTCAGAACACTATGAGAGGACTACTACTTTTCACTCTGGTTAAGAACATATACCCAAGGAAGACAGACACTACAAATAACACCTTGCGGATTTCACATTTTTGGCAAAACAATACACGATGAAAGAAATTTTCAACAGCGATCACAAAACAAGTCGAGAAGCCACGCTGATTAGTTGAAAGGGGATCAGATCAACACGAGCACGGTCAGAAAGAAACGCCTTGATTGGAGTTTGGCTTCACCGTGTGCTTCATTCACTTACTTTGCAGCCACGAATATAGGGATGATCGAACTTTATATACTTGGTCCAGTATGGCTTGTACTTTGCCATTGCCAAATCTAGCCAGGGTTTCATGTTCCCATTATAGTGTATGACTGCGGCATTATCAATTTCTGACCGATCAATGCTGGGATTATAGCCCAGTCCGAGGACGTGCCATGATTTCTCGAGTGGATGTGTGAGCCCATAAAATGTTAACAGACCAGGAGGCAACGTCCCAAGCTTCCACAGAGCTCTGTCTTCGTTCTGAACAAGAGAACAGGTTAGAATACCAGCACATATATTTTTTTAATTCAAGTACAACACTCAAGAAAATACATAAGGCTGTTTCATGACCAAAAATAATGTCATGACTAAAATATTTTTATTTCACAAAAAAAAAATAATTCCATAAAGCATCATGAGAAACTGAGAGCATCTGACATGGCCATAGAAACGCAAAAGAAGTTCTTACCATATTTTGCCATTTGTGGTAAATGCCAGTTATATCCTTCTTCTTCCACTCCTTAAGATCAAACATGTTCATCCCATATGCCCACCCACAAGCGTTGGGGTCAAAGTGTCTGGAAATATTAGGATTTGTGAAATTTAAGTACTTATCGAAACGGTGGAAGCTTTGGCCACAGGTTTCAACTGCACCATTCACCTTTCCATGAAGATCAACTGACCACAATCGTGTCAAGTCCTTCTGAACAACAATGTCGTCATCAAGAAAGAGGATTTTATCCAACTTCGGATAAACCTCAGGTAGATAAAACCGAAGGTGATTAAGCATGGAAAGATACTTTGGGTTCCTGTACTTCAAATTAGAGGAACCAGCAGATAGGGTGGTTGGATGAGCAGCCTTGAAATAATACTCCTTCATTGCTGCAGACTCTAGCTGCCGGAGTACAACACAATAAGAAGAGTTAAGCCATTTGAACTCATCAACATTTTCCACATTTATGGTAGCTTTCCCAGGAGGGTTCAGCAAGAACCACATGTTCATAGCTCCAAAGTTCAGCTTATCAGTAACGAGATGAAACACATGTTTCTCTGGTTCCTGCAAGTCACCCAAGTGGAATTTCCAAAGATTAAAAATCTCATTTAAAAAAAAAAAAAAAAAAAAAAAAAAAAGAGTAAAAATGGCACTGGCATTCATTCCTATGGCTTAAAAATTAAAATAAACATCAGTCGTTGCATCTCAACTGTTCTCACCAAATATCCATCAAGAAAGATATAACAAACTTATCATGCAATGAAAACAATAAAGTTTCCAGATCATTACTTTCCAACAAAAGCAGAAGCAGTACCCTCTTGAACTGCAAGTCCCTTTACACATAAATATCTAAAGTTGAATGATAACTTGCACAAACTGAACAAAATAATTTGATTTATTCACAAAACAATTTACCATAGTAATAACACCTAAATGGTTTATAAATAGAAATGAAGATGCATATGCAATGCATGCAAAGGTTTGAAAGGCAAAAGAAAACCCCATACCTTAGCATTCATGATAGTGGAATTAACAACAACAGAAGCAGCCAACACATTGTCAGAAAACAGGGCATAATGGTAAAGATTTGGGTTTTCAAGATTCTCAGATCGGGGAAATTCTCTTTTTTCAGGAGGAAGGAGGTAATAATCTATAGTTAAGCGCATCGATAAGCAGTGGATCCCATTTGGAATTGTCTTGGCAGCTAATTGACTCAAAAATGTGCTCTGTCTCTTCAAACTCCTGACTTCCTCATCTGCAGTTTGCAGCATTGCTCTCAGCTTCCCTGTAACCAGCTTGCAGTCATAGAGTTGTTCTCTTGCTTTCGATAGTACTTGGCCCATAGTTTTAATTTTCTCGTGTGCACTGTCCAGCACAAAATAAACTGCACCATCATCATATGCACCAGACAATATGTAAATTATATGAACACAACATAAACAAACATCTATTACCTGCGGGGAAGATCAGAATCAGAACTTGCTTCACCCAAAACACGCTGACTTTCTTTAAGCCGTTGCTGTAACTCTTGTGCCAAATCAGCCTTCTTCTTCATTCCAGCAATGCTTAAATACACCCTCGCCATAATCACTTGATCTCTCATCAAGCGTACTGTTGAATCGGGATTCTCATTTTCATTCTCTCTCCTCCATACGCTGTACTTCCCCAACACAGCAGAGTCAACTGACTTAGAACGTTCGATGGCGGCATTTTCAAGCTTAACAGTTACTTCATCATCCTGTTTTGCTAAATCTGCTGCACGCTTTTCACGCCTTCTCTGTCTCAATTGCTGCAGAGTGATTGAATAGATATAAATATCATGGCCCTTGTGGTTAAAGCAATCAGAGAATGAAAGATACAAACATAAGCACACATAAACATGTGCATAGCCAAAAAAAAAAAATGTATGTGTCAAAAGAATAAACTCAACAGTCAACAGGTTTCTGTCCCTTTCCGTTCTCCCTATTTTAGTATTCAGATCAAGAGCTAAATAAATCAAGGTACAGAAAAAACACACAGCAAAAATTACAAAGTAGGTTGACAAGCATACTTACCCTCCGGGCCACTTTCACACGGTCATCCACAAATTGGGAATCATCTTCTGCATGAGAAAAAGTGGAGTGTGTTATCCAATGATTTTGTATTCATTTATACATGAAACATTTCTAAGAAAATAAGAGTAGAAAAGAAACAACTACCATGTAAATATTCATCCGTCTTCCCTTTTGAGGTCTCCTTTCTCTTAATATCGATCTTTACATTTGACTATCCAATTACACATCCAAAAACAAAAGCAATCAGTATGCTTCAAGTTAAATGACATTTCAATCACCCAAGTAGTAGATAGAAGTATTCAATCTTAAGCCAGACTATCATCCTGACCTCCAAAGAAATGCTCCTATTCTTGGCCAAGCTTACTTGCCCAACAAATCTCCAAGAAGCTGATAAATTGCTCTTTCTGAAAGAATCAAGACTTAGTGGCCCTAAATCATCTGTACTGGCCTTGATTATAGCAAACACCTGAACAGATGAAATGTAAGAAATTATCACAAATAAGGATCAGAAAACAAGGATTAACTCAAAGAACAAACATAAACAAATCAGAACATGCCTCTCTTGTTAATATTGGTTTAATATGTTGCAACGCAAGCCTCTCTCTCCAATCAAGATCCTGTATTGCAACAACTTTTATTATTACCCATAGTAAACATCTTTGGATAGGCTCCTATCAAATATAGACCCAAGAAGGATACCATTTGACGAGAAGTAGTTGAAACATGATTTATATCTGCAGAACAATGAAATGAGTTAAAAATTTATATACTGTCTACAATAACAGTCAACAAAACAAATCATACTGCATATATCATCTTTGCATCCTTGATCACCCTATAAGCAGTTCAATGGGTTGTCAAGAAACTAGTGAAAGAAAATTTTCCATCTACATAACATTTTTCACTAATAAAGATCTGCTAAATCAAGCCCATCCATAGCATCAATGCTACTGACTAAAATTTGTACTTAGCACTAACCTAAAACCTCTCTAATCTAAACCCCCTCCCGCAAAAGCACACAAATATAGTTAATTGAACTGTTAAAACTTGAATAACTACCTCAATTTGATACAGAAATGAAATCCACAGTGTGATTGCTATCACTAATACAATACACAATTGAATGCATTAGTGTATATGAATTAGCAGTAGATACTGACCAATTGAACTAGAAATATAGAGGCCGCGGCCGATAAAGAAAATCAACGGAGCAATGCAGGAACAGAAGATGAGAACCACAACGGGGAATCGAGATCCACCGCCCCTGTTCCTATGGGTGCCGCTCACACCTGATAATCCCTTCTTCGACGCCATTACCTATCCAGCAACCACAGAAAATTTTAACAAGTAGAAAAAGTGTCAACAACTTCAGTGGACGATTTGACCAAGTAGCTCGAGTAGAAGATAAAATCTTCCAGAAACAGAAAGAGAACGAAGGGGCGAGTACATCGGGAAATTGAGAGAATATCAAGAAACTAGAATATATAGATACAATTATATCTGTATATATGTGTTTTCCAGTTAATTTTGCCCTAAATCCGAGTAAGAGAGAAAGTATGAAAGAAGCGATCCGATGAGGGGATAATTGGGGCAACAGAAAAGGATATTTTTCTTTTTTTTTTTTTCTTTTTTTATGATGAAAAAACAAGGTCTTCTTTTTTTCTTTGTTTTTAAAAAAGAATATTCATATTTTTCCCTATCTTAATAAATTGGTATTCATAAATTTTAGGAAATATTTTGATAATAACAGTGATATATTTCTAAATTTGTATGCCTCCACTTTAAAAATTTCAAGTCAAAAATTAAGATACTCATGTGCGATTTGGATAAGAATTAAAACTCTGCATGTATAGTAAAGATACATGATGAATTGATGATATATACAAAAGGTAAAAAATTACAATGAGATATTATTTGTCATAACCAAGATATTACTACCTCACCAGAAAAATATTGCGAAATCTATGACTTTTTTTAGTATATATGAATCACATCATATTCGCTTGGTCATTTACACAATTAGAAAATATATATTTATTAGTTATCATAAATTGGCTAACCTTACACTTATTTAAAATAAATCTATTTATTAATTAAATACAAATTTTTGTAATTTAAAAAAAAAAATACACTCCCATGGTAAACCCTATAGCATGATCCACACACACACATATATATATATATATATATATATATATATATATATATATATATATATATATATATATATATATATATATGCCACTTATATTTCTTGATTTTTTTGGTAATTACTATTATTTTTTCTTTGATCCAATTAATCAAGATAATATTATAAAGTATATACTTTTTCTTTGGGTGAAAAGGGAAATTTATAGTTACTATCGAATGGTGTTTATGAGAAAAATCATATTCATGTAGTCATGTGTAATCATAGACGGAGCCAGAGAGGGGCAGGGGGGTCAGCTCCCCCCCACCCCACCCCACCCCTCCCCTACCCTATATTGTATATAATATGTATATATAGTACATTATTCATATAAATATTATAAAACAAATTATGTAAACAAAAGTTGTGATAGACAAAGTGGTAGCTAACGTGTATGAGTTTGGGAATGGCTTGGGTCAAGTCTTTGCATTGATAATGTTATAGTCTTCTTCACATTTTTTATTAGCACAATTAAATTTTGGCATGATATATATAACTTCCATTATAACTTTCTTTATATTAATAATGGAATGTGTAATTTATAATGTGTTTTATATTCGAATTGTTTTATCAAATTAATTATGTTTCATATTTTGTTATAAATAATTTTATAAAGTTTTAATATGTTTTATTTTTCGCTATATCCAACAATATTTATTGTTATACTTTTTAAGTATTTCATTTTTTAAAAACTTTCTCTTTTATTTTAATTTTTTCCCTCACTAAAAAAATTTTCTGAATCCGCCATTGAATCCATCCTTACTTCTTTGCCCCCCTCAACATATTTTCTGGCTCCGTCCCTGTGTGTAATAGCCAGCAAGTCACATATAAAAGATAAATCGCACTAAAAAAATTAATCAATATATTCGACCAAAAGAATATTGACAATAATTTAATTCATGATGACCTTTTTTGAATGCTACTGACTCTATTACAATGTAGTATATGTTCATAACTACAATTCCTGATGACCTTTTATTTACTTTTTTAGATTGTTGCAACTTGTAAGTTACTCTTTATATATGTTAACTAGTAATTCACCCGCGCGATGCACGGAAAATAATTATGTTATTATAAATATAAATAAAAAATAAAAAAACTAAAATATTTTAAATTATTTAATATAATAATATTTTTTAGCTTCCATTGGTCAAGTATTTATTATTTTTATAGAATACAAAATTACAATTAAAATTAAAATTAAAATTTTATATGGTTAATATAATCTCTAATTATGTGCATATTCAAATAAACTTATAGACCAGGACTATGTGGTCTAATGGTATCCGGGTTGGACTTCCATTTGGAAGGTTGTAAGTTTGAGCCTCAGTGGAGGCGTTATTGGCTCTTTGTGTTTCAGTAGGTTGAGAAAGTATATGAACAGATACTACAATGTAATAGAGCTAGTAGCATTCAAAAAAAAATAATAATAAACTTATAGAGATAATTTACATAATTACATTGATTTATTCTTAATTATATTTCATCTATACTATAATTTTTACAATACAAATAATAACTAAGATAATTACATTTGGAAAGCAAATTTCAAATTTTTTATGTGTAAATTTAAACTCTAATTGAACATATTTTTTATATGATTATATAATATATAGCTATTTTATTTTTCAAAAGTATATTTTTTATATGATTATATAATATATAGCTATTTTATTTTTTAAATGTTGTGCTTTTTTTTTTTAATAATAAAGGATGTTGTGGCATTAATTGTAACATTAATTTTTTCCCAAACCATATAGCTTTATTATATAAAGGATTAAACATTACTTATAGTATTTCATGACATAAAGGATTATGTCATGAAATACAGTTGTAATTTATATATATATATATATATATATATATATATATATATATATAGGGATGCACTCAGGTGCGAATAAGTGCTCATGAGAAAAATGCGAACAAATCAGCGCGCGACACGTGTCCAGATAATAACTTTAAAAAAAACGCGGTGGCATTTTCGTAAATAATTGAACATTGAAGTGCAAGTAAAATCACTTACAAGTGCACCTACTTCCACCTATAAGTGCATGTAATTTTGTCTTGTTAGCATTCACTTTCCGCAAACATTCATGCACCTAGGTGTGCTTATAACTATATGTGCAACTATTTATAACTATAGGTGCAACTACTTATAACTATAGGTGCACCTACTTTCACCTATAAGTGCATGTAATTTTGCCTTGTTAACATTCATTGATCTGAGTTCAGTGGGTAGTAATACCCCTGAAAACCACTCGCAAACATTCATACACCTAGGTGCAACTACTTATAACTATGTGTGCAACTACTTAGAACTATAGGTGCAACTACTTAGAACTATAGGTGCAACTAAGTATTGATGCTCAGTGTAAATTTTTACTTGCACCTATAATACATTTTACATGCACTTGTAATACATTTTACTTGCACTTCGATGTTTAATTATTTACGAAAATGCCACCGAGTTTTTTAAAAAAATAAGTGTTTCTCATCCATTAGATCTGGACACGTGGACGAACAGAATTCATTCCTATTTCACGCCTGGGCGAAGCATTCGCACCTGAGTGCGATTCTATATATATATATATATATATATATATATATATATATATATATATATATATAGAATCGCACTCAGGTGCGAATGCTTCGCCCAGGCGTGAAATATATATATATATATATATATATATATATATATATATATATTCGATTGCACTAATTTACCGTTGTTTATTTATAAGCACTACCTTACTATATTATTTTGATTATGAGTAACTTTTGCTTATGTTTTTACTATATAATTGCATGATGATATAATTTGCCCAATGTTGTTATGGTGGATCGGCAAATTTGAGTTGAAAACGAGAAGATTTTTTTTTTTTTTTTTTTTTTTTTTTTTTAAGGATTGGATTTTTTTTTTAAGGATTGCATGATTTTATGTTATTGAGGAACCAATTACATTTTTGTTGAGTTTGATGGTCTAATTACATTTTGGTGTGTAGTTTGGTGGTCTATTTAACCTTTATTCCTTAATGAAATTATAAATGTATACTTCAATATGTAATATTTTTTGGTATATCATAAGGAAAGTTAGAAGAAGTTTGGCCGCATTATCTTAGCACAATATATTATGTCTCAAGAGTAGTAAATTCATTGATAATGGTTTTTTTTTTTTTTCAATTTTTTTACAGAAAAAAAAAAAGTAAAATAAAATAGATCGTATAGGGAGATCGCTAGTTGGCGATCACTATAACAGGTCCTTTGGGCGCGTTATGTTATTTTTTGACAAAAATCTTTCAATAGCATAACTCCCCCCTCCTTTCTTCAATTCTGCCCCCTTAAAAAGCTGTAAAATGTCTGAAAAAAACTCATCAATGATTTTATACTAAGTTTTAACACAATAAACAATTAATAAAAGATCAAATCCTCTCAAATTCAAAGACAATGCACACCTTTCGTTGCCAAATACAAGTCTAAAACAATATGACTTTAATTTGTAGATACTACCCAACAAATTAAGAGATAATAATTTTACATCTCCACCTTGGTCTCCTTCTCCGTGATTGGCGACCGTTCGCCGGTTACTTTGTTGTCTGAATGTCGGAATTTCACTGGTAAGTTGTCGAAACCCTAATGACCTGTGATAACAGGTCATTAACCGGTATTTGGACTTCATTGCATCAAAATAAATTGTTGATGAGTGTAATTGCACATTTAAAAAATTTAAGAGGCTAATTGACTTTTCAGCTAAAGTTCGAATGCCGGCCTATTTGACTATTTTCCCTAAAAGATTTAATATATAATTGATGAGAAATATACTCCGGATTCAGGCTCTCCATATGCTCTGTGCTTCTGTTTAGGTCGGGTTCATACAATTCGGTCCCAGTCCACGGGTCAATATAATATTACAGTTTGAATAATATAAATCGTTTAAATTAAAATACAATGAGTAGTATTGCCCGATTCATTTTTCCATTTAGATTTAGAATCGAAACCATTAATTACGTACTTTACCTTCTGGTAATCCAATAAATAATTCAGTCTCAACATCTGATTTTTCATCACCACCATTGACATAGAGGGTGGAATCATGACTGTCATCTTCCTCCTTTGATACTTTATGTGGTTCAAGTCCCTTATACTAAACCAACATTGAAAACAAAAAAAGGTTGAAGATTAGTCAAAAAGACTCAAAACACAAAGCATAATGTAAAGCTAATTAAGAAATAAAACACTTTATAATGTGATGAAATCGTAAATTACTCGTAGACATACATAACAATAAAGAATAAACAAGAAATATAGAGTATTACAATTATTCGGTTCATTATATAAACTGTCAATGTCAGTCATATGTATACCATAGATCACAATAAATCGAATAGAATTTACAATAGTCCCTATAAACACGGAAAACATTGCTTCGCATCAACCTAACTCTACACTTCAAAAATATAGATCAAGTTTTATTGTAGTTAGCCTATCAGTTAATTTTGACTTGTTTGACCACTATTAGCTGTTTGAATTGGTTAAACAGTCAATATGAGTGTTTGATTAATTAGTTTTTTTGTAACAATTGCTCCAAAACACTAAAATTCAAAAAACTGCTCGATCAAAGCAGCTTTTTTAAAAAATCATTTTGTATGTAATAAGCTATCAGCTAATAGCTAATTTATCAAATATTTTTATACAATCAGCTAATGTTATCTACTAGTCAAACTCACTAACTCAATCAGGTAACAACTATTTACTGAACACCCCTACATGTTACACACACACACACACACACACACATATATATATATATATATATATATATATATATATAAAGTGGAATGCACATTACCTTCTCCCAAAGCATTGCATTTTCAGCAGTTAGAACTTTTCCCTGAATTGATAAATAGAATTGTGATCAAAGGCATGTCATATAAAATCCAAAATTTTGTTATTAATTAATATATATAGCCACTCCACCTTTTCTTCTAATTGCTCAATGCTGTCTTTGAAGATCTTCATCTGAAAACAATAATACCACAAGAAATAAAGATAATCAAATATAATATATTCAGCACAACATTACCCATGCATATAGAAAATAACGAAATAGCATATGAATAAGTAATATTAAAAGATGGTATTAATATTTTAATTTGTATAAGTTTAATCATTAAAATACTTAAGATCTTATATATGGTAAAGTAATATTAACTTTTGACTTTAATTATATTAAATATGCTCAGTAGATTAAGATATTTGTGCTTTCAGCAGGCTGAGAAAATAGTTATAAACAATACTAGATTGTAAGAGAGTCAGTAGGACTACAAAAAGGGTTAAATATGCTCGAATTAGGGTTGATGGACCGACCTTTCTTGCTCGGATGATGTTCACACTCCTCTGCACATGCTGCTCTATCATTTCTACCTCTTCAAAGGTGGATGAGCCCAAGCGTAGCCCTAAGAGTCTCCTACACCATTGTACATTAAACTTCAATCATATATATCACCAATGGCAGCTAGCTAGGTTGTTCCTTTTCATACCTTAATTAAACTTAGGAACATTATGCGTACCGTTTGGATGCTTCAAGACAGTCTATTTTGTGCTTCATTACTTCGATTTCGTGCTGCAATTGCTGCAAACATTAAGATGATCTGATTAAGTTACAACGATGAATGTAACGATGAACTTGGTAGCAGAGACAATTATATTGAACTATGCATAACCTCTATAGGTTGCCCTTCCACTGATGAAGGGTTTTCGGCTCGATTGTTCATCACGTGTTTGCGGTATTTCTCTATAATCTCCTGCGAGCTGAGAGTTTTTCCACGTACATATTAAAACCCTCTATGGGTGTAAGCTGGAGTTTTATAGAAGCTATAGTAAAAACTGTATGTAACGAAACATAGATTTAACCTATCATTTTTACTATTAAGGTAATCCTAGTCCATATTGGCTTAGTTCAAAGTTAAACCTTAGGTTGACCTCAACCCAACAAGTGGTTCACTTGCTAAGTGAAATGACCAAAAAAATTATTTTTTTATTGTTTAGTTTGCCACATAAGATAGCAAGTTTGATGTTTTAACAAACTTGCTAATGACCGCCTTTGCTGTCAAATGGCAGCAAAAGCTGCCATGTAGTATTTTTTTTTTTCTTTGGTTTTGAGTTAATGTTTTAAATTAATGTGATATTGGGGTTCACTTTTGAAAGTTGATTGATTTTACAGGAATGTAGTGTGAATAGTAAACGAATTACAAATTGGGTGATGTGAAAGTAAGACTCATTTTAAAAAATGAGAGAGTATTGGAGGGATAAAGATAGCCTTAGTTCATATATAAATGCATTATTTTTTTTTTTTTCAATTTTACAATAATAAATAGTTATCAAAATATGTCAGTGGTGATTGAGTGATGTTAAATATATTCTCTATATATTCACTACTTTTTTAACATAACGAGATAAAAATACATATAAGAACAATTATTATCAAAGTTATAGCGGTCTACAAGTGATTGAGTGATATTAAATGCAATTTCTTTCATATATTTACTTTTTTGACATGACTAAGATAAGTATACATATAAAAAATATATGAGTTTTGATTTGTCATATTAAGTGATTAAAACATCATTTTTCTAAATAATAAGATATAACACAAGTCTCAATCAATATTATGATGTATGCAATTCTAGCTTCAAAGTTCAACTTCGTATTATGAGCAAGGGAATGGTACATATATTACTATATACCACCATTTCGTATACAATAATTTAGTAGTTGTTGACACTATCAAAGTTATTATTGTCACGTGTCACTAGTTGAGTGATAGATGTAAAATGCACTCTCTCACATATATACTTTTTTGACATGATGAGATAAGAATACGTATAAGAGTAATTACTTTAATTTTCCTCTTTCGCATTAGGTATAATAACACGAGCCTCAATAATCAACTTGATCTAAACAATTCTAATCCATCAGTATCTTAGTTCAATTCAAAGTTCAACTTCGTATATTATGAATAGTGGAATTCAACAGTACAAACTACAAATCATTAGTTCATTAGTTTATCAACTTCTGTAGATATAATCACATAATGGATATATTTTATATAATAAAGAATTCATATATATGATATGATATACCTGGAGCTTGCAAATTCATGGAGTTTTCCTCTGGGGGAGAAGATGATGAGAGCAATCTCAACATCACAAAGCACAGAAAGCTCAAACGCCTTCTTCAACAGCCCATTTCTCCTCTTCGAGAAAGTCACCTGTCTGCTTGTCGCGTTTTCTATACGCCGCATCTGCGTCTTCCCTCTCACCATCTCGATCTGCAAATTTTTTTCTCACTTTATATATATATATATATCATTCATAAAATCATATACCAACCGCTTTTGGTTGGTGTGGGAAAACGGAATAACAACGGAATAAAGACAGGACAAAAGATAGCCAAAAATAGGGAGGAATCTTACGCAAATCTAGAAGATAGCCGATGAGTAAAGAGGATCAGAAACAACCTCAGAAACCCAGAAACAGAAACCCCAGATTCTGCAGATTGATCTATATATAATCCTCAAATTAAACAACCTCAGATCAGATCAGTTCCTAGTTTCTCTAGACTGTCTTTTTTTCCTGTCTCTTCGTATACGATACGACGATAATGATGAAAAAGGGGAAAAGTCTTTATGGTATCTCACTGGTTCAATTCAGTAAACAAACAACATACTATTCTTGATTTGGTAATCAAAGTAGCTCTAAAAGGAAGAAGAAAAGGTTCTACAATGGCCATTAATGTAGAGAACGAAGAGACAGCCCCCGTACGTAAAACAAGGAAGTCGACATCATAGTACGGTTAGCCAATCAAAAACCGAAACGCATAATACCATTCTGATAGGATTTGATGGACCGAGGACGCAGTGACGCACAATATATATAATGCCATTCTGCAGATAATCTTTTTATATAGTTACATTACAGTACTAAAAAAGCACCATTCCCCACCAGAAAAAATTTAAAGTATTTTCGTCATAAATAATCTATCGTTTTACTGGGCATTTGATTCAAATATGTAAGAATCAGAATAAAGATAACAAGAACTAACTAATGAGATTGAATTTTCCTATATTTGATTCAAGATGAAACTGATGTTGTATATATCTATATGTTTTTTGTTTTTTTTTTTTTTTAAATGTCTCCATCGTGGCTTAATTTACCTTGCATGTGTTGAGGTTTTGGTATATATTCGTTCACTTTGTCATAAAAAAAATGATGATTAGAGATAACAATATAAGTTAGAATGTTAGATAATTCACATGAGCTTGTTAGAGTCCGATTTATGTGAAGTGGTCCAGACAAGTCACATGTGCTTATGTACAAAATAATGTTGAGCAATCAATAATGCATTGTGGCATGATTGGTGAAGGGGGAAGGGGGGCGCTTATTATACCATGGACTATTGATATAAATTTATTTTTAGTATACTAATATATTACTATACATAATCATTTTTAATGCAAAAGAAATTATGTAATACTCTAACAATGAATTTGAATTGAAATATAATGAGTCATACTAAAAGTGAGCTTGTAGTATAAATGAATCTGACTAAAATATATTAGTGGATCAAGTTCAAGGTATAAGGATTAAAACCGTTGGCAAAGTTGAAAAAGGGTAATAGTGATTGTGGTGGGTTGCGTACTCTATATATATTTCTTTTTTATTTTTTCTATATATTTTACTCCCCAGAAAAGTGATTCAAACGTTTTTTGTTCCAATTTTAATTTTTTACCCTAACAAGTAAAAACATAAATACATTCCTTTGTTAAGCATGACAAACCAAACACTCCCTATGTGTTTATAATTATGTTAACCGTACCAATGTTCATTAAAGTTATGCAATATATTATTTATATTGTTGTCTTTGGTGTCTAAATTTGTATATAATCATCTATCAAGACTGCAACAGAGTAATAATACAATAATTTGTGAAAGTTGAAAATAAGCTTCAATTCACACAATAAACCCTTGCAAGTTTGGACACGGTTTCAAAACTGTCATAATTTTAAATATAGAGTTTTATAATTATGAGCATAGAGTTCTGTAATTGTAAATATAAAGTTCAAAAATTGTGAATATAAAGTTCAATAATTGTGAATATATAGTTCAAAAATTATAAACATAAAATTTTATAATTACAAATATAGAATTTAATAATTATGAATATAGAACCGTTTCACGGCGTAACAATTGAAGTATTTGCGTGATCCTTTGTGCCAACGTAGATCCACCGATTCCAGCTATTCCGTACCCAAAGTCATCATATTGAGGTCAAGTCACATGCTGTTTACCTTAAGCCCGTCACAGCCAATCAAATTTCTCAAACGGACGTTAACCTAACCCCGCCAATTATTTCTCCACCGTTTTCAACGACAGACGTACCCATACATACAATAACGAACGCGTTACATAAACGTTTAATATACACGTCTATATACATAAAATAAATAATACATTTACCTGTGCGCGTGTGTGTGTATGCTGGGTGGACCAATTTTCTTGTTATTTTCAAGCTCCTCCATGGCTGTCTGTTCCTTAAATCTTAATCTGGTGGGGAGTTTTCGGAGAACTGTTCTTTAAATTACTGTGATATTGTTAAAACAGTCAACCTTCTAAAGGTACAATCTTCAATATTTCTGCAATTCTTTCTTCATCGCTGTGAAATGCTTCATATTATATCGGATTTTAAGTTTTATTTGAAGAGTCGCATTTGACATTTGATCTTTGGATGTTCAAATTTGGTTGTTTGGTGTAAAGGAGCAATGTTTTGTGTAATTATTGAGGAGAAAGAGGGGAACCCCGAACCCTATTGATTGTTGTATATTTTGGGGGATTTGATTGGGTTATTTGATGGATTTATGTGTATCAGATCAATAAGAAGAGTTGGATTTGTTTGTGTGTAGTATAATGGAGAACTACAATTCTCAGTCTCCCTATCCATATGGCAATGCCTATGGGTATCCTCAGGTTCCACCATCTTCAAATCAACCTTACCCTCCTCCTCCTAGCTCTGGTGCATATCCCCCATACCCATACCCTCACCCCCCTCACTCTCACCCTCAATATCCTCAGTATCCACCCCCTTTCACCACTTCACATTCTGGCCATTTGAGCTATGCTCCCCCAGCTCCTTCTACTGGTGGATACCAGCCAGGTCCAGTAGATTATGGATATCCCCCACCACCATCACCACATCCTCATCCTGGTCTTGTTCCTTATCCCTACCATGGATATATGCCTCCTCCAGCTTCGCCCGCTCAACCTATTCTTCAACATTATGGTAGTTTCGATTATGGTTCATCTCAGCACTATCCACAACCTGTGCCTCCTCAGTCTCTAGAGAGCCACCCGTCAAGAGTCAATGTCTACCCTATGCTTGATCACCAAGCTAGTACATTGTCTAGTAGTAGTAATGTGACAAATTATGATCATGGCATAGATAACGCCCCCACATGCCCTCCAGCTTATCCGCCTGTGGAAGATCTTTTAGCAAACATGCAATTGTCAGAGAATCACCCTCCTGTCCCTGCACCAGGTTCAGTACCTGATTCCCCTCCAATGTACCACTCAAATCCAGGATCTATGCCCACAAACTATAATGCGCAGGGGACAATATATGGGTATCCTAATTCCTCCTTCTCAAGTTGGGATACATGTTCTTCACAAGCTGAGTTCATTCCTCATCATCGTCCTACACATTCAAGCTCATTTATGGAAACAGGCTCTGATCAGAGTCTCCAACTTGTGCCAGTCTTGTCTTCTAAAGGCTCTCTGAGGGTTTTGTTATTACATGGGAATCTGGATATTTGGGTCTATGAAGCAAAAAATCTTCCAAACATGGATATGTTTCATAAAACAATAGGGGATGTGTTCAAACTGCCAGGTAATGGCAACAATAAGATTGAAGGACACACGAGTCATAAGATCACAAGCGATCCCTATGTCTCAATTTCAGTAGCAGGTGCAACCATTGGGCGGACTTATGTGATGAGCAACAGTGAAAATCCTGTTTGGAAGCAACATTTTTATGTCCCTGTTGCACATTCTGCTGCTGAAGTGCATTTTGTTGTGAAGGACAGTGATGTGGTAGGATCCCAGCTTATAGGAACTGTGGCAATTCCAGTGGAACACATATATGGAGGGGGAAAAGTTGAGGGGTTCTTTCCAATCCTTACAAGTAATGGGAGGCCTTGCAAGGTGGGAGCTGTCTTGAGTCTCTCCATCCAATATACACCAATGGAGCAATTGAGCATTTACCATTCTGGAGTTGGAGCTGGTCCTGAGTATGATGGGGTTCCTGGGACGTATTTTCCACTAAGGAAGGGTGGAAATGTTACTCTTTACCAAGATGCACATGTTCCTGATGGATTCCTTCCAAATTTGCCACTTGATCATGGGATGCAGTACGTACATGGGAAATGCTGGCATGATATCTTCTGTGCAATACGAAGTGCCAGGAGGTTGATCTATATCACTGGATGGTCAGTGTGGCACAATGTCAGATTGATTAGAGATGATAATTCTGTGGAAGGCTACACTTTGGGGGAACTGCTGAAGTCAAAGTCACAGGAAGGAGTGAGGGTTCTGTTGCTTGTATGGGATGATCCGACCTCAAGGAGCATTCTTGGATATAAAACGGTAAATAGTTATCTGCATTTAAAAAAATTTGTGCCGAGTGGATATTTGAACATCTCCAAGGAACTTTAGTTTCATTGTATCTCTAGGCATGCTTTGCCAACACCTGTTAATGATTGAGAGGTAGACTTATTTTTGTTAAATAGTCTGCAAACTGACTAAAAAAGACTGATTATATTTTTCCTGGGATATCATAACTCAGTTATATCTCCTCTCATTTTGTCACCGAATTTGTCACATTCTAGACTTTTATACTCATAAGTTTACATTAAACTTCCTGTGCCCTTGTATCAAAGATAATTGAAAGTATACTAATCATATTCAATCCATTTCATCATCTTATATAATCTCATAAAAAATTGTGTGAGATGACTTGTCAGATTACTAAAGAGCTTGAAGGAATGCAATTGCACAAGATTTACATACCAATAGTATTTCTTGTACTCTTGATAGGGCTTTATTGACATTTAATCTCTCTGAAAGTATGCTGTTTTTTTTGGAAACTTAACATATTCTTAATAACCATAAATTTGGCGAATGCAGGATGGAGTCATGGCAACCCATGATGAAGAAACTCGTCGCTTTTTTAAACACTCTTCAGTACAAGTTCTTCTTTGTCCTCGTGTAGCTGGGAAACGGCATAGTTGGCTGAAGCAGAGGGTAACAATTTTTTTTCTTCTTTCTCTTTTTGGCTGTTACGAAATGCACATTCCAAATTCTTATGGTTAAGGTTTCTTTTAGCTTTGGTTGCACTATTTGGAGATTCTAGATTCTTTCGAGACTTTTGTTGAGGAGAATAATTTTGACCAGAATACAGATCTTACGTAGTTGTTTATTATCATCTTTTGCAATTTCTAGCATGTCTGAGAAAAGACACCGATTTCATCCTATTTGTCTACCTGTTCTCTTCAAAGTAACCCTCTTTTTTTTTTTTTTAATTTTTTTAATATTTTTTTTTCTATAAATCTATGACTATTTTCAAGATAATTTCTTTTTTCTTACCTGCATTTTCACTCTTAAAGATTATTACTGCTAGCGATTTAAATAGAAGTAAATGATATTGCAAATACAACCTCGTGTCCTGAAGGTTCCTCGACACCACTGCAGACCCTCTTTTCTAAATTATGAATATAGTTGCTCTCTTGTAGAGTCGTAGCTTAACAATGTTGCTATGTTTCTTTATCAGTTATTTAAATGCTGAGAATGTGCTTAAGCTATCCTGCTGCTTAAATTCAAAGCTCTTTTTGCTTATGCAAAATCATGTTCCACATGCCTGTATGGTCAATTTGATGGTAGAAATGTTAATGTAGAGACCATAGTTTTTTGCCAACTAATCACCTCCTGGTCTAAATTGTTACGATAAAAAAGCCTAACACCTTTTGTACTTAATTGTCAGGAAGTTGGAGTTATTTATACACATCATCAGAAAACTGTGATAGTTGATGCTGAGGCTGGCAACAATAGAAGAACAATTATAGCGTTTGTTGGAGGACTTGACTTGTGTGATGGTCGATATGATACTCCAGAGCATCCTATATTTAGAACTCTGCAGACTCTGCACTCAGACGACTACCATAATCCCACATTCGCTGTAAGTTTTACATTCTAAATATATCTTATAGGCCTGTTTCTCATTCTAAAAGACTATCTGCGAAAATCAGAAAACTGTTTTATATCTTCTCTTTGATTTACTAAGAACTGTTATTAACACAACAATCCTTGTTTTTGTTGTTAATCGATTGATCTATTTTATTAACTTAATAGGGGAGTGTTGCCGGTTGTGCTAGAGAACCATGGCATGACTTGCACTGTAAAATTGATGGTCCAGCGGCATATGACGTTCTGACCAATTTTGAAGAGCGGTGGTTAAAGGCTGCAAAGCCCCATGGCATTAAAAAATTGAAGATGTCATATGATGATGCCTTGCTACGAATAGGAAGAATGCCTGAAATTCTAGGTATATCTGATATCCCATATGTGAGCGGTGATGATCCTGAAGGTTGGCATGTGCAGGTAAGTTCAAAATTTTGAGAGATTGGACAAAAGCTTTAACGTTGTTTGGACCAATTTTGCACCCTTTTCTTGCCATTCTTATGCAGATCTTCCGTTCAATAGACTCCAATTCTGTTAAAGGCTTTCCTAAGGATCCTAAAGAAGCTACAATGAAGGTGCTAGAGAGAGAATTCTTTCTTTTTAAAGAATATGATTTAATTTCTAATTTTCTACCACCTTATATCTCATAATGCTTTTTGACAGAACCTGATGTGTGGGAAGAACGTACTTATTGATATGAGCATACACTCAGCATATGTGAAGGCTATTCGTTCTGCACAACATTATATCTATATTGAAAACCAATACTTTATTGGCTCCTCATACAACTGGAGTCAATATAAAGACGTCGGTAGGAAACTACTTTTCTCTCTGTATAGCATTGACACAGACAGTTCTATTTTTAGCTTTTAAAAAAAATATTTCTAACGCCAGATCATGCTCTCTTCTAGGTGCCGATAATTTGATTCCAATGGAAATTGCACTCAAAATTGCAGACAAAATAAGAGCAAATCAAAGATTTGCAGTATATATTGTCATCCCAATGTGGCCAGAGGGTAATCCAACAGGTGCTGCTACACAAAGGATTCTTTTCTGGCAGGTAAGAGTTGCATCGTTAACTCCCTATGTCAAGAATTTCAGACTTATGCATGTCATGGATACGCTAACATGTGACAAAAATAAAAAAATATTTATTGCTCCGTCAGGCTGCCTATTATTAGTTGCTTCGGTGCAGACTGTGACTAAGAATTTAATTTGCAGAACAAGACAATGCAAATGATGTATGATACTATTTACAAGGCTTTAGTGGAAGTTGGACTCGAGGATTCATTTTCTCCAGAAGATTATTTAAACTTCTTTTGTCTCGGAAACCGTGAGACTCCCTGTGCCAATGATGCACCAACCAATGAGAATCCTGTCGCAGCAAATAGTCCTCAGGTATATCCTAATAATCTCCTACTGTCCCCCCACCCCCCGCACACACACTCTCTAGCAATGCGGTTCCCAGACTGTAATTTAGCAAGTTATCTAGAATACAAGTAGATTTGTTATATTAAAAATTTTAAGTCTTGCCATTAGTTGTTGACATGGTCTCCAGTTTACTTGATTGCTTTGAATACTGTCATTTCAGGCACTCTGTCAAAAATACCGTAGGTTCATGATTTATGTGCATTCTAAAGGCATGATTGTGGATGACGAGTATGTGATATTGGGTTCAGCAAACATCAACCAGCGCTCCTTAGAGGGTACCCGAGATACAGAGATTGCGATGGGAGCTTATCAACCCCATCATACATGGGCAAGAAAACAATCAAATCCCCGTGGACAGGTAATACAAACATCAAGCGCTATTTAACAATCTTGATTAGTTGATTAGCACAGAACCATCATATTTGGCTTATGTCTTTAGAAATGGCTTCTCTGTTTCCATTTTCCAAGACTTGACAGATTAAACTGTTGGTATGTGTGAAAATGTATCTTCTACAGATTTATGGATACAGAATGTCGCTCTGGGCCGAGCATCTTGGAGTGCTAGAGGACTGTTTTACGCAGCCAGAGTCTATAGATTGTGTACGACGAGTTAGATCAATGGGAGAGGCGAACTGGAGACAATTTGCAGCCGATGAAGTAACAGAAATGAGAGCGCATCTACTGAAGTACCCCGTGGAAGTCGATCGCAAAGGCAAAGTGAATTCTCTTCCTGGATGTCAAAACTTCCCAGATGTTGGAGGAAGCATAGTAGGATCATTTCTTGCCATTCAGGAAAATCTCACCATCTGATTTTTGCTGTTTTTTTTTTTTTTTTTTTTTTTTTGTTTTTTTGCAAAGTTCAAACCTTTACCAAAATTATAGAACAATGACAGGATTTGAAAGTGCAGTTTTTCACCTTGTTACTTATATATTGATACTGTATATATAGAGAAAAAGAGACTGATAATAGAAAAGTTACCGGAATAATTATAGAAAATAGTTTTGTATTGTTGGGAGTTTTAATACAAAGTTTTAGAGTGTGTCCCCCTCTTTCAACATGAGGTCAACCTTTATTATACTATAAAGAGGTTACTATCATGATAGCAACGGCTTCCTAATAAGTGACACTGCCAGAATTTTTATTTTTTATGAGGCGTGCTTTTAATGTGTGTTCTTGTAACCGTTCCATATGTTTTCTGCTCCTGGCCGTTATTTGACTACTTTGATGGGTTAGACATATCAGGTCGGATCTAATACTCCGTCTAATTATCCCGTGAGAGAGAGAGAGAGATGCTATATATGACCGATTGATGAGTTAGAGTCTTGGTGGTAAAAAAAAAAATTAAAGTATTATACGAAATGTACATATATAGCTAGACTAAAGCTTGGGCAAATACTAGTGAGTAATGCCCAAAGCTTGAGCAAATACTAGTGAGTAATGACCTTAATATTTTTGGATGCTGAGAATAACTTGCAACCATTACATGTGTGCGGGCTAGTATACAACCTAATAATCTAATTAGTAGAGTGTAGTTTATTCATAAACTAATTGGTAGAGTGTAATTTATGCATAAACATGGATCTCTGCTAAAACTTCATTAACCAAGTCCCTAAACACCTCAACCTCCACCTCCCGGCACAGTTCTTCCTTCTCCTCCTCAAAATTGTACCACCGCATTCCGGCAGCCTTCTCCATATCTCTAATATAAGCCTCCCTCTTCTCCTCCACTTCCCATTCATATGACTCCTCGGAACACCTTATAATGTCTTCTCTCGTCAAATGAATCATCATCATATGTAGTTTTGCCTCCTCGTCGTTGCCTTCTTCATCTGCGCCGTTTTCCGGCCAGGTGGTGGTTCCTCCCACCCCGCCGGCAAGGCTTTCCAGCTGCTGAATTCTTTGCATCAACATGCATTTTCTGCCTGCAAGTCACCATTTCAAGAATTCCCATTAGTACTCACACTTAATTTTGATCATAAATATTATATATATAAAAAAAAGTAAAGTTTTTTTGAATGACGAGAAAAAAATAGTCAAGATGGTGTGTTTTGGGTAAACTCAGGTTGTTCAGTTTATTGTTCAAATCAAGAAAGTCCAGACCACAAAAGGTAAATTAACTTATATGACCGGTTCAAAGAAGATTGTAAGTCAAATTTAAAAATTTATAATTACCATAACTAATTTATAATAATTAATTAAATATTAGAGGTGAATATATATACTTTCTATGGTAGCAAGGCTGCGATGGAAAGTGAAATCTTCATCTTCTCTGAAAGGTGATTGCAGAACTGAAACTGGGCTGTGTTGATCGTTCTCATCAAACTGCAAATTATTAACACCAATTATTGTTTGAATAATTAAAATTAAAGTAGGAGAATAAAGACAAAAATTATGTGACGTGAAAATAAAATAAAATAATACCTGCGGGTCCATTTGTTTGTCCATGAAATACCCACCGACAGTTTCATCGTTATTGTTACCAGCTGCTTTCATCGTCCCGACGGCGGCTTGTTCGTCGATTTCACCGCACCACGACGGTAAATCCTCGGCGGTGAAATCGCTGTCGCACCAGCTAGATCTCTTGCTACCGGTAGTGGTGGTGGCGGTGGCGGTGGTGCACCTGTTCGGCGAGTAGCAGATCAAGAAGTCGTCGTCCAGCGGCGTAGATTTCTCCGCCACCAGGTCCCGGGACGACCTCCACCGGAGAATATCCTTGACTTTGACCATGGCCGTCGGCCGCTCTTCGATGTCGTCGTGGCCGAGGTTCTTATTACCGCTCGCCGCCGCCGTCGTCTTTCTGGACAGTTTTCTCGATATGAATACGGAGGGAGACTTGACGGCGGAGGCGAAGGGGAAGAACTTGACGATGTTGATCACCTTGTGTAGGGCGCCGGAGATGGTGGCGGAAGCCGCCTTCGACCGGCTCCTCATCAGCAACTGCGCCGCCGCCGCCGGCGGAAGTTTGCATGGCTTTGTTGCCGATGAACACGAATGGTGATAGTCGTCGTTGAGGAAATCCTTGAGCAACCGCGGCCGGCGTTCCAATGATAATGAAGCGTGAAATTTCCTTTGCGGCGAAGAAGCCATTACAATTACAACAACTATATATGTTTTGATTATGATTTTCAATATAAATATGAACCTTGAAAGCGTGGCCTAATAATCTTTTAGATAGAAATTATATGAAAACGTTGAATCTCTAAGTGAAGAAGTAAGTAATATGTATGTGTTTCTTTCCTCTCTTCTTCTTCTTCTCTCTAGCTTTGGGAGGTGTGAGGTGTATATATAAGTACTAGCTTTATAATAATGGAATGGCATGGATGGTGAAAGAAGGTGGTAGCTAAGCTAGGTTCCAAAAGATTAAAAAAATAAGGAGTAAAACCTAATAATTGACACAATTATATTGGTAAGTGTGCTATTTTAAAATCATTAAATTTGTGGAATGATATATAGTGACTTTTTTATATGAGAGGACATGAGATTGAGTCTCAGTGAGGGTAATATTGATTTAATGGAAAAAAAAAAAAAAAACTCTGATTTTTGTACTTATGTCTTACTTTTGAGTAATAGGCAAACTCTATGAGAGTGAAACTTACTCCTAAGTAATAGTTAGACTTTACAAACACAATTTATTTATGTGTAATAGTCAAACTCTATCAACACGACTGAATTAATCTTATGGTAAGAGAAATTACAAGTGTCATTCACAACTTGGGTTGAATTTACAATCCCAAACAGATCGGTGTTAAGCAGGTTATTAATGAACTACAAAGTTTGATGATGGATTTTTGTATGTGTACAGAAGTCAATCGAATAGTCTATTGATTTTTTTTTTAGTTTGAACCAACTAGTTATGCACAATATAAATTAGTTTACCTTTTGTGATTCTTTGCAGGCCAGCTAGAGTTACATACAAAACGGGATTTTCCCGCACACCCTCAAATGGTATTAAGAGTTTCCCTCGTCACCTTAAAAAAATAAAATTACTCAAGTTAAAAGTTTCAGGATATGGGGTGTCATTACACATAAGCAACCAAAAATAATAAATAAAGAGTAAAAACTAAAGGAATCAAAGAGGAAAAGGACAAACAACACGTAGGTGCATGGACGGTACGTTGTATTGTTTGTTTCTAAGGTTAGGATTTGTTTAGCATTAGAACACCATGAGTTGTTTAAAGATGTCGGAGATGGAGGGTGTGTGGGGTGGGTGGGTGGGTATGTTTTTGACGACTAATTTGGACTTAGTGACTGTAATTAACAGGCTGGACTAAGATTATGGGAATTAATTAGTGTGCTAATTATGTTTCATGTGTAGACACGGTGTAGTTAGCCGCAGAAAGTGGTCTGGTTAGCTAAGTGTATATATATGCAGTACTAAGTCACATGCAATTGCAGAGAGGGGAAGCTGCTAAGTGCTTGCATTTGGGATACGATGAAACTGGGGATTGGGGAAAAACAAACAAATTAAGTTTGAGGTCATTAGTTTAACATAATCACTTTGATGTTAATTAATCCACTTTGGATATGTTTGTCGGTAGGTTGATTACGGCAAAGATATGATTGCGGCTTAGCTTTTATTATTATTATTTTTTTAAACATGTTATTTAAAAAAACAAATTTCGGTCATCGAGCTAACTTGGTATACGTGTTACAACTTTCTATTTTATTGATTAAGTATTTGCACAATTATAAGTGGTGTAAGTGAAATAAAACAAAATTCACTAAATTGAGATATATAATCGACCATAAAAAAGTAGTTAGAATAAGACTGTGGTTCAAAAATTGATATTTTGACAAATTTTTCATCACTTTGATTAGGACCATTGTGTACGTACCCAAAGAATTGTTCAATGTTATTTTTTTTTATCGCCCGTTGAAAGTGATCAGTAGCACTACTTAATACCCACCAAATGTGTTTCCTTAATTTTCAACCACCAATAATCGAAAGTTTAAAAGAATTAAAATAAATAATCATGGTGACTATCGAAAGGCATCAACACATAGAAATTCAATTTCCGACCAACTTTTTCTTTATTACTTTTAAGGTAAAACTTAATGTTTTTATTCATTAATGATTTAGTACATACAAAAATTCGTTGTCAATAGTATGTATATTGTCCTTTGATTTATTTGAAAATCCACAATCGCTACCCAAATCTGACAATGTGAAGTCCGCCCCATTACTCTTAGCCATCAAAAGACCACAAGAAAGTGCTAAAGGCATATAAGTAACTCTCACACCAGTTAAATTTAGAATCTTGAGTATCAAATTAATCGACCAACTAACTCATATGGAGTTGCCCAACACTACCCTTAACTATATGAAGTTGTGATAGTTGAAAGGTAGAAACTCACATAAATCCAATAATTGCCAATCAACTTTTTAAATTACTAAATTATCTATCCTTAATTATATGAAGTTGTGATGCATGTATCTAAGAGAGTATCCATTATTGTACAAATTGAATTTTTTAAGTTTTATTTGATTGGCTATTAGGCAATAAGGATAGGAAGGTGCAGTTGGGTGATAGGATGAGAGATAGAGCAATGGATAATCAAAATTAAAGATGGAATTGGAGAAGGTGCGGTATGGAAGGCCTTATGTGGGTGTTGGTGAAAAATGTGAAATTCATGTATGGTCATTCATATATATTTATTATATATACATATAAAATCTTCATACCAATCAAAGCTACCCGATACTATGTTTGTTCATGCATGGGCAAATATTGAAAAAATATATAAATAATAAATATAAGAAAACAAAGCTTGTCCCCTTCAACACATAACAATAATGGAGATTTGCATAGGGGGTATCCAATGTTTTCCTTGTTGATATATTTCTTGTATTATAAGCTATGAGTTTTATTTTTCCCCAATTCTTACATAGCCTAACCAAGAGCCTAAACATATTCAAGACTATTGGACATCTTGACCTATTATAATTTTTGAAATAAAATATACAGAGTATTTCTTATAATAAGCGACAACTAGACAGATTTAAGATTTGACTCATTTAAATCATTCTAGCTTTCTCTTAGCCTAAAAATGGATTGGGATAGTTCGGGATTGATCTAAGTTCAATGACTACTGGTTCGAACTACAGTCAAGATATATCTATGGCATACCCATCCTTGTAGATTATAAAATTTAATAAGTTGTACTTGATAAGTTTAGTCAACTTAGAATACTGAAAACAATACACAAAAGTGACATGAAAGCCGATAAAATAAGTTAAACGATATGTAATACTCCGTATAAGCTATTTCCTATGGTTACAATGTCAAATCTACCAATCATTATATCAGGAATTGTTAAAATATGTACACAATTTATTAATTAAAAATACATAATATATTAACTATAGATACATAATCTGGACTAGGATCTACAATGTGCATAGTTAAACATAATCCAAAATATAATTTGCACAAATCTACTCAATTGTTATACCATGGACCAGGGTCCACATGGTAAGGTGGTCCCGAGTCCAAAATACAAAATATATATACTGAATATTCACAATTTACATATTAAATGTTCATAATTTACATTTTACAAAATTGTGAGCATTTAATATGTAAATTGTATAATTTAAACTGAATCTATATTGCAAGGTGGACCCGGGTGCTTGCCGAATCCACTATGGAATACATAACAAGTCCATTAAGATATAAAACTTGTTGCACAATCGTTATATCCTACACCATGGCGCACATAGCACTGTGCGCCGCGCGCCTCCCAAAACGACGTCGTTTTGGGGTAGTGTTGGTGGACCCGGGTGCTTGCCGAATCCACTATGGAATACATAACAAGTCCATTAAGATATAAAACTTGTTGCACAATCGTTATATCCTACACCATGGCGCACATAGCACTGTGCGCCGCGCGCCTCCCAAAACGACGTCGTTTTGGGGTAGTGTTGGGAGGCGCGGTAGGAAGTTACTGAGATTATGTGTATTTGTTCACAACGTTATGTGTATTTGTTCACAACGTTATGTGTATTGGTTCATACAGTTATGTGTATTGGTTCATACAGTTATGTGTATTTTTTATACAATTATGTACATTCTTTTTATACAATTATGTACATCCGAATCAGAAAATTTGTGTGTATTATGTTAAGAGTTGATGTGTATTATGTTAAAAGTTTATGTTTATTATGTATTATGTTAGATTATGTGTATTATTTTTTAAAAAGAGTATGTATATTTTGTTATATAATTATGTACATTCATGTATAACATTATGTGTATTCTAGTTGATACTGTTAATTCTACGCAAGCAATATAAAATAAACCCGATACCAATTAAAGCAAGTAAAAAATTTTATTGATCACGGTAAAGGCCCTAAGTACAATCTACTTGGTTGCTCTGAGTACCGACTGACTGCGGTCGGGAGTCCCTAGTAACAACCTATCGATCGTCCAAAAGTCCCTTACACTGTAGCTACTGTGGGTATTTATAGCCGCTATGCCGGGGACAGGATTCCAGCCGTTCGGCATGTCCTCCACGTAGCCACCACGTGTCATCCTCCCGGGTACCCTGCCTGTCGATGTAGAGAGCCGCCACGTGTCCTTCGTCAGCTCTCTTGCCAAAGGGCTACCGCTCGGCGGTTGACATCATCGTTCGGGCAACTCCCGGTCGGATCCCGACCGGGTTCTTCACAAGGAGCCCGACCTTTTTACCTGCAAAGACAAAGAGAAAAGGACAAAGGCATCTCGGTCGTGGTGAAGCTGTGTCGGTCGGGATATTCCCTATCAAGAGCCCCCCAGCCCGGGCCTTTTTGATCGTCCGGGAAAAACGGGACGGGATGAAAAAGCCCAAGCGTCAGCCACCAAATCGACCGGCCAGCTGTCATTCCTTCCCTCACCACGTGTCGGCCACTGCCGGCCTCGGAATCAGTGCGGGTCGTGTCACGCAAGTGGATTGGTTTCCCGCCTAAATGTTCTCCTATAAATAGGCCCTTGAGGCCTCCATTTGAACTTTCCTCAATCCACTGAAGCAGTCGGTACACTCAGAGAGTTCCGAGCAGCAATTCAGCGATCCAGTCGAGCAAAAGCCAAGCTTCAAATTCTCTTCAAGTACCAGCAATCGGTAAGCTCTTGATCCCTTAGCTTCTACTTTGTTCTTAGCTCTGCGTAGGAGTAGGATAAAGCTAACGTTGAACTAACTTCGCGACCCCTGTACTAACCCCGACCGACCTTTAGGTAGATAATATGTCGGATTCGGATAGCCAGAACGTCTCGATCGCCGACTATGACGACACAATCGAG